CATCACATGCCATTCATAAATGTCAAAATGTGGTGGAAAGGGTGTGGTTAAAGAAAATTTAAGACTTGGACTATTTACTTATGAACATTTAACTAGCTGTCCTATTTGTGGAGGGAGTGGGGAAGAAATCACAGAAAAATGTAAGAAGTGTAATGGAAGTGGAAAAGTATCTGAAACCAAAGAATTTAATATTACCATTCCTAAAGGTAGTAAAACTGGAGATATTATCAAGATAAAAAATATGGGTGAAATGGGTAGTACTCTTCTTTTATTATTAACTGTTAATGATGAAGAGAAGAACTTTAAACGTCAAGGTGATGATTTATTAACCAATCTAACAATTACTATGAAAGATGCATTATTAGGATTTAAAAAACAAATCCCCCATTTAGATGGTCATCAAATATTTATTGAACAAAATGGGGTTACAAGTGATGGTCAAGTTATTCGAATCAAAGGTGAAGGATTGAAAAAGAACTTTTTATTTAATGGTGATTGTTTAATTTCTATCCATGTTGATATGAATTCAATATCTCATGACCAAGCATTAAAAATAGCTAAAATATTAAATCAAACTAATTAATTCATTGTCTACCTATTCCTCTTTCATCCCTTTGTAATGTTAGTTAATGGTTTAATTAATTAATTTTTGGTTTAGAATTGTTAACCCTTTTTTAATAAAGTTTGTAAATTGCAAATATTGTACATATATTAAATAAACAGAATAACTTATTCTTAATACAAAAATTAACTTTGACATACTTGCTTGTTTCTTTTTAATTTTAAAAAGAAACGTTGTAATTTAAGTGGATATTGTCCAGTATCTGGTTATAAAAAATAGTTAATGTTCCAAATGAAATTCCAGTAATGTAAAAATAATCTCATTGAAGTGTTGTTCTTTCTTTTCCTGATAGAAGAGAACCTCTTACGTAACATAAAAGATTACGTCTAATAACTTATAGGTTAGGTATAAGTTTTATTTATAATTTTTTCTTGTACGTAATGTTTTACACTCCAAAAAGCAAGTACTTTTATTGACCGGTGTGAGTTTCTTCTAACATTTGAAGATTTTGTTATTTGAGATAGAGTATCAAGATAAATCTATATTTCAACATTGTTTGAGATTTTATAAAATGATTTTAAAGTCTTATGAAAGGAAAATTTAAAAATGGAAAATTTTATTTTCTTGTATTCTTAAAAACTAAGTTGAGATTTACAAATCAAGAAAACAGTTTTCACAGCCTAGTTGAGGTCTAAAGGTTAACAAATAATATGATGTCAAGAGGATAGCACCATTTAAATAAGAATGGTCCATACATACATTGGTACATAGATATAATGAGAGAGAAATCAAATAACATTCAAAAATTTTTTATCTATGTTAGTCCTATTATTGCCCTACCATTCAGTGTCTCAACTAGTAGGTCAATCGTTCTTGGTTTGTAGAAAAAAAAGGAATCAATTATGAATTACTTATGATTATGTTTTCGTTATGTTGAGAAGTGAGAGAATCAGTTTCTTCAACGTGCCTTATTTCCTTTGAAATAAAGTTTTTTCAATCATGCCCGAATTAATGGTTCTTCATTTAATTTGTTGCCTAATTTTTATTTTGAATCAAATGAGTATTAAGGCCCTTCGTTCTTTATAATGTTATTGTAAGAAGAATATACCCACAACACTATGACTATGGTCACTATAGATACCCCTTAAAGAATCTATTTTTTTAATAACATACCATGTATTCAGCTCAAAACTATCTTTGATAAATATATTGCGTCTTGCTAAATAATAACATTATATTAAAATAAATAACGTTCTATCATAATAAATAATAGTCATAACAAATAATAACTAATTAGTTTTGGGTGGTGCGTTATCTCACCAAATGCACGTCATAACCAGAAGATAACTGGGGTTCTAAGTTTGGACATATTAGGGTTCTATTTGGTTTTTAACATGCCACCTTCGAATCTCTCCTCTTGGTTTGTAGATATAATAATTAAAAAGAAATGGAAGGTAGTTTAAAGAAAGATATTAAAAAAAAGGAAGGTGAACTATTTTATTTATTCTAAGTTTATTCAATGGAAATACCAGAAGGTGTTTGTAAAGAATTAAATCAAGAACTTTCTGTTCTTTCTGAAGAACAATTAAAAACGCAATGCGAAAATATTGTCCAAGAGATTTGTAATGGAGATGAAATGGGTGTCAGAAGTGACAAGTTGTATGACTGTGTTTGCCTTGTCTTTTTGGAAGGAGCAAAAAATGATATTGGAAAGGAGCAATATATAGAAGTATTAGAAGCAAATGAAATTGGGAACAAACAGAAAAGAAGTGTTTTAGCAGAGGTATATGATTTGCATAAAGAGATGGTTAGGAATATCTTAAAAGAAACAACAACAACATTGACAAAGATTATAGGAGTGAGCTGGAAATTAGATTTTTTTGTTCGTCCTGAGCACAAAGAAATTAGTCCTGTTTTTCTTGTCACACTTAAAACAAAAGTAAAAGATAATGAAGGGAAAGTTGATTTTGTTTGCACACATGAAGAAATGGAAGATTTAATTACAAAGTTAAAAGATGCACAACAACAAATTGAACGATCAGCAAGTCATGTTTAACAAGAATGTAATTTTTATGTTATTGAGTTTATTTTGTGTTATTTAAGAAAAAATAAAAATGATAAAAACTTCAAGAGAAAAAAAAAGAAAAAGAACTTAAAACAAAATAACCATTAAATAAGTATGGAAAGCCTTATTAAAGATTTAAATAAACAAAAAGAAACTAAAAAGGAAAGATTGGTTATACCTTGTAAAGAGTTAAGTCTACCTAAAGCACTTAGTGAACATAAACATGGAACAACTACTCTTTCAATGATTATTAAAGAAGGAATTATTGTGGCTGTTGATTCAAGAGCCACTCGTGGTGCTTTTATTTCATCTGGTAGTGTACAAAAATATATTCCTATTACTAGTCATATAATTGGTACAATGGCAGGAGGTGCAGCAGATTGTGCATATTGGGAACGAGAATTAACAAGACAATGCCGATTATTTGAGTTAAGAAATAAACCACCAATTAGTGTTGCAGCAGCATCAAAGATGTTAGCAAATATATTATATCAATATCGTAATTATAATTTAAGTGTTGGATCAATGATTTGTGGATATGATAAAACAGGACCACATATTTTTTATGTAGAAGATGGAGGAGTTAGAATCCCAGGACATTTGTTTTCTGTTGGAAGTGGATCACCATATGCTGTATCTCTTATTGATTCAGAATATGATTATAATATGCCAAAAGAAAAAGCTATTGAATTAGCACGTCGAGCAATTTTTCATGCTACACATCGTGATGTTGCATCAGGAGGAAATGTAAATGTAATCTTTATAGATAAAGATGGATGGAGATTAATATCAAGAAATGATTGTTATGATTTATATTATGATCATTACAATATAGAAGAATATCAAAAACATGGACAAATGGAAGAAGATTAATTTAAAAAATAATTTAATATATAAAAGAATTGTTTATTTAATATTGAAAAAAAAAATATAAACATAAAAAAAAAAAAATATAATTTTTAATGATGTGAAAAAAAAAAACATTTTACATTTTTGGAGAAGATAATAATAATGAAGTTTGAGATCTTGATAACATTGGTGTTGTTGGAACAAAATAAATATCTGGATGATCTAATTGATGTAATTGATAATCAAATAATATATTATCAAAATTATTTGAAGAACCTATTATTAAAGACCAATTTACTTTATGTTGAAAAGCATATCTTCTAGCTTCTTCTTGCATTCCAAAATAATTTAAACAATAACAAATTGTTTGATGTTTTTCTAGTCTTTTTAACATATCAAGTCCTAATTGAAACATACCATTATATTTATTTTTTAAAAAAATAATTTGAGTTGCAATAATTTCATTATCTGGAAAGACTCCAAATGTAATAAGATTAAGAAGAATAGAATATTGTTTAATTTTATCTAATGCTTCTATTAATCTTAATAAAACTGCAATTTCTGGATATTCATTTGAAGCAAACCATACTTGAATATATTCTAACATTAAATCAATAGAATATTGAATTATTTCATATTCTCCATCAATAGGAAGATTTAATAAAATTTGATATTTAAGTTTATCTAAATCAATAGCACATTGTTCTTTCTTTTTATTCATTCTAAGGATAGTTACTAAAACCTTTGACATAAAAGAAAGATCATAACGTAAATCAATCATTTGACTTAATACATCAATTGCTATTGATCCTGCTCCATTTCTTCTTAGAAGATTTCTAATTGATTTAATTGTTTGTTTATTATGATTTATACTCATTTTTTGTTCAATAATTTTATAATATAAACAATATTCTAAATTAAATTTTTTAATACATCCATTATTTTGATCAATAATAAAACGTTGATTATAAATATTATTTTCAATAGAATCTTTTATTTCAAATGAACATTTAACATTTTGTAAAATACAATATTCTTTATTATGAAAATCATATAATGACATTTGTTTTCCATTTGTTAATAATATTAAATTATCTATAACAAAAACTGTATAATTTATTGATGCTTGTACTTCTACATCAATATGATCTAATCCTCTTTTATTAATTCTTTTAGTATTATCAATAATAAGAAAAGATGCAATTTGGCTAAATGGAAAATAAATAAAACAAACAATAGCACCATAAATTTCAATAATTTGAAATATAGGTACTGTTGTACTTTTTACTTTAGATATATTAGGATTTTCTATTACAATACTACGAAATGGACGAATATAATCACTGAGAGAAAGAATTGTTAATGTAAATTTACCTCCAATAGAAAGATATGTATTAAAAACTAAATATTTAAAAATACCTGAAAATGTTGGTTTTGAAAATCTTTCACAAGAAATTGTTGATCCATTGAAATCTAACATTTGAACTGATCCATGATACAAACAAATAATATGTTTTCCAACAATTGCTAATTGTTTTAATTTATCTAATAAATGAACTTTACTAATTTGTTGTGAAGTATTAATAAATAATATTTTTTCATCATAACAATATGCTACAATATTTTGTTTTGATGTTTGAAACCTAACAAAATGATGAATAACCATTTCATTGTTTTCATGTTTAGGTATTGAATTATTAAAAATTCGTTCAAATAATGATTTGTTTTCTTTATTATCTTTAACTTGAGTTTGAGGAATTTTTATTTGTTCAAATGGTTGAGTATCTGAATTATTTATTTGGTATATTTGATTCTTTGATTTTGATGGAATAATGAAATAACAAATACCATTAGAATCTTTATTAATGATTTGTATTGGTTTTGAATCTTCAGTGATATGAAAATTAGTGATATAAATTGGACTTTCCTCCATATTGTTATCCCTTTTAATTCTTTTTTCTTTTCTTTTTTAATAATTTTCTTTCTCTTTTTTCTATTTTTTTATTATTCTTTTACTATTATCATTTCTTCTGAAATTTCATAAAATCTCAGAATTATCTTTTATATATTTATATTAAATCTACATTTTGTAATACATAACTTAATTTCTTTTAAATACATCTTTCTATACTCTCGTCTCACTCTTTTTTTTATTACAGAATTATCATTGTATATTAACACTAACTAACACAAATAAATTTCTCTTCTTTTTTAATATTATAGATACAATAAATGCTTTGTATTGAACATTTTTCCATTAAGAACAAATAGAAAATTATTATTAGACTATGAAGAATAAGAAACGATATATTAATAATGTTGATACATTTAAAGACAGAAAGATAAAATTATATTGTATTTACAAATTAATCAAATACAATGAATTTTAATAGAAATTGATCTAAAATAGACAAATAAATTGTAGAAATAATCAAAAACATATTAACAGTAAATAGTTTAATATACAATTAATAAGTAAGAATATTACAAATATTAAAATAAAAAGAGATTTAGATAAGATATTAAAAAAGAATCATTATTAAAAAAATAAAAGATTTAATGTTTTAAATATTTAAAATGATAATATATTAGAATATAAATAATATTATTATAATATATAATAGAACCAAATAATAGAATAGAAGCAAAATATATAAAATTGATAAAACAATCAATTCTCAATAATCATAAAATCAAATTGTGAATATTTCTTTTTAATTAATAAATTTTTTTTTTTAAGTTTATAATATAATAAAATAATATTTAATTAAATAGTTTTCTTATAATATATTTTATCATATTGTATAATTTTTTGTCTTTTAATAAAAAGATCACTAGAATTACTTTTTAACTAAAGATGAATCCTCAAATGGACATTGTCACAATCTTCAACAACGTTATATCAGAAATTGATAACGATTCTTCTCGTATCCAATTCTTAACTTTTACTGCAATTCAGAGTATTGCACGAGCACAAGAAATTGTGGATATTATCAACACCTCACTACTTCGATTTGTTCATAGTCCAGAACAACAAGTATATGTTTTGTATGTTATTGACTCAATTGTAAAGAATGATTCAACTAGAACTTATCTTCAGTTAATTTGTCCAGGACTAGACGAGAAGGTAGTTGATGTTTATCATGGGTGTCATCAACAATTGAGACAATACATTATTGATTTAATCAACACATGGAATGGATCATTTCCAAATGAAATTATTCAATCAATCATCAGACAAATCAACCCACCTGAACCAATTGTTCAACCACCACTACAACAATACTACCAACAAATCCCACAACAACAATTACCACAACCACCAGCTCAATACCAACAATACTTAAGTCAACAACCAATGAAAAGAGAACCAGAGGGATTCAATCAAGCAGCCATGCCACCTCAAAAAAGGATGGTTAATCTTTATGAAAATCCTGAATTACCTTCTATTGGCATTGATGAAGAAATAGCAACAAACCCATATATTCAAAGCGTTGTTGAACAACCTCCAGAACCTCCAATTGAACCAACACCGAATGTAAATGAAGTCGACACTATTGATTTAATGAAAGGTTCTAGTCATCAAGAGCCAAAAGAAGTACAACCAGAACCAACTTTAGAACCTATTCAACAAACAATTATAGTTACAAGAAAATATAACTTGGACCCTCAGTGTGATATTTGTGGAGTTCATTGTCATAATATCGATCAACACAAACAATGGCATCAACGGTGTGACGCCCTAAAAGATGGTATTAGTAGAGATTGGTATGTGTCATCCAACACCTGGATTACTGAACCTATTTCAGAACATGCAACCATTCAAGCATTTGCTGCAGATAAAGAAGAAGAAGCAAAAGCACCACAAAAAGTTGAAGAGATTCCTGAACAATCACAAGTTGTTTTATATCCAATTGACGAACACTCAATGAATTGTGATATTTGTAAGGAGAAATTTGAAATATCAGATGATGGATTACATTTCAAGAATGTTATTGCAGGTAAAAACGGTAAATTAGTACACAAAGAATGTGCAGAACATGTTTAAACATCCTCTAAAAGGAAGTAGAAAAATGTTAATGACAACTAACTTATTTTTTTAGTCTATCTGGTTATTTTTAATACTAAATGAATTGATTATATCTTGTTTTCCAAAAAGAAATAACGTTTTTTATAACGAAAGAGAGAATTAACCACAAGAAAACAACTTCAAAAAATAAAGTTTCAATTTGAAAGATGTCAGAAGATCAGTCAAATGAATTTGAGGGATTAATTAATCAACTTGAAAGTTCTATTGATGTGTTAGAAACTCATGAAAAAATGAATTATGAAATTCCAAAATTATATTATAAGATGGTGTTTGAGGATGAGTTATCAGAAGAAGAAAAAGGGTTAGCATTAAAAGGATTGGTCTTATATTTGAATTACAAAAGAGAGTTTTATGAGACATTTATTAAAACTCATTTAGAAGATATTTATTGCAAATTGCCACTCTATTTTGAAAGACCATTTACTGATTGGACTTTAAGTTTACTCCAAAAATCATTCAAAGATAAAAAACCAAATGGAGATATTATTAATAAAATATGCAATACTATATCTATGGTATTAGATGAAGATCAACACCCAACAAAGACATTAAACAATGGATTTTTATTGATTCATAAAACTTTAGTAATATATCCTGAATATATTCCTATTATTATACAAAGTGAATCTTTTTCAAGTGGAAGATTAACTCAAGGATTAATATTAGAATTAATATTTACAGAATATAAAGAATCAATGTATTCTATTTGTCTTGACATTTTGAATATTCTCTATTCTCAAAAAGAAGCAGATAAATATTTATATATTAATGATCTTAATGTAATGCTTTCTGATGTATTTCCATCATTATGTAGACAAAATAATTATACAATTGATTTAGTGATGCATAAAATGTGTTTAACGCTTATTATTCTTCTTAGAATTGCTATTAATCATTCAACATATGAAGAAGTTCCTGCATTTAGAGAATGTTTAGAACAATTAGTAACATTACAAAATGATACTGAATTAGTTAATGAATTATTAGATTTATCAACATTAAATCAATAATAAAAATCAATCAATTTTCTTTGCAAATGATATTATTATTAATTTTTATTTTAATTGTGCAATACGTACAATTTTTTCTTTGTTATAATGATCTCTAAAAATACTTGATTTATGAATTTCTTCATCTTCTGAATCATTATTAATTTGGTTATTGTTTTTAAAAGAAATCTCTTTTTCAAGTTGTTCAAGTTTTCTTGATACATCAACCATTTTCTTTTCTAAATTTTCTATCTTTGTATTTTCCTCTAAAGTGATTTCTTCTGGGGTTTTTTTGAGAATGCTTTTTTCTTCATATTCTTTAATTTTCATTTGGTCATTAAAGTGTTGTTGCCATTTCATAATTTCTTCTTTTCCTTCTTCAAAACAACCACATTCTTTCATTTCACTCAAAATAACTAATAACTCCCAGAATAAAGTCTCTTCCATTTCTTCTGCAGGTAAAACTAGGTCTGATGATTTATCTTCAATTTTTGGTTTTTTCCCTATCCACTGAACAATACCATCCCATACTCTTTTCATGTTTCAAATAATGTTTTTTTTAGTTTTATCTTCAAAATTTAAAACTGTCTTTCAGAGAAGATGAATATTAAGATGTTAATTTAATAAATATTGTGTTCATTTTTGATTTTAAATTCATAAACTTTTCCAATGAAATATGAAGAAAGAATAAATAGTAATAAGTTAAATCCAAAAGAGAATAGTGGAAGTATGAGATAATCACCAAGTGTAAAAACAGTCAAACAAAATTGAAAAGGTAAAATTTCAAGCCAACAATGATTAGATTCAAGTTGATCCATTCTTAAATGAAATGAAATTGAGAGATAAGGAATTCTAAGGGTAAAAGGGATTGCAAATAAAGAAAATTTAAGAAGAATAAAAGAACATTTAAATAAATTCCAATTTTTTGAAGAGAATGACATTTCAATTTCAATAGAACTATCAAATGAAGTTAAGACATTAGAATGAGATAATGGAATAGTTTGAATTGATATAGAAAGAATTTTAAAGAAAGGAATGAATCTAAAAGGTATTTTTGAGTTAAAATAATTTAATTGATGATTTAAATAATATATTTTGAGACAAATAATATAACAAAGAAAATCAGCAATTTTTAATGATGGAGTAAATAAAGGAAAAGGAATTTTTATTAATTTCTGAGAGAATGTATACCATATTTCTAATTCATGAGAATAACGAAAACGAAGAAAGATACGATCAGAATGGAATTGTGAAATTCTATTATTATTTTGAATTAATAATAAATTTCTTTGATCCCATTTAATAGGACCAAAAGTTTGATATAATTCAATATGTTCTTTTAATGGAATTATAACTATATCATTTGGACTTAAAATATCATAAGTTAATGGTGTAAATATCATTACATCATTATCTATATACATCTCAATAATTCCTTCAATTACAGTAGTAGAAACAATTAATTTAACTTCAGTATTAAAAAGAACTTTTCCAAGTTTATCTCTTAATTCTTTTTTACCAATTCCAAATTGATAATAATGTTTTTTTGTTTTTGACCAAATTAAAATAGAGATTAAAATGAAACAGATTAATAATATTATTGATAAAGTCATTTACTAATTAATTTATTCAAAAATCCATCTATATATTTATTTTTCTTTTCATATTATTTTGAAAGTCCTCTTTGTTTTTGTTCATTTAAAAATTCTTTAATTACTCGATAATAATTATCATAATAAGGAAGTTGCATATGTTTTGCTCCTGGAAATGAAACTAATTTTGTTTGAATACCTAAATCTCTTGCTTTCTTTTCCATTTTTCTGGTCATCCAAGTTGGAACAATTTCATCTTCTTCTGATAATAAAAATAAAATTGAGGTGTTCTTATTAATGGTTTCAATCTTCTGTTCATTTAGCCATGGATCACGAATCATAACTTCATTATTTTGTAAACTTGGAAGAAATTCAATAAGACTGGTAAATCCATTTTCAAGAATAAGTTTTTTTATAGGAAGTATTTGAGTAATACTTAAAGCAACACCAACTCCAATAGATCTTCCAATAATAATAATATTTTGAATAGGAATTCCTTCTTTATTTAAATAAGAAAGAGAAGCTAATGCATCTTCAATAAATCCTTGTTCAGATGGTTTTCCTGTTGAATTTCCATATCCACGATATGATAATATTCCAACACTTATATTAAATTTAGAGTAAAAAGATTTAAGGAGAAATAGTCTATCAAGAAAACAACCTGCATTACTTTGGAATAATAATAATAGTTGAGAAGAATTAAGATGAATTCCATAATATAAATGAATAAATTCATGATCTTTTGTTTCTATTTTCAAGTCAATAAGATCAAAAGGTAATTTATAATTATATTTTATTTGGTTCATTGATGGGATATTAGGATTAGAAGGATAATACAAAGCATAAGAATTAAGAATTATAAATGATAAAATAAAAAGAATATATTTTAACATAATAATAAGAATATATTATATTATTTAAGAGTTATAAAAAATTATTAACAAAAATTATTTAGAATTAAAAACTGAATTAATTGTTTTTAGAGTACAGAATCACTACTCGAAAATTCATTTCTTTTGTTTCTTTTCTTCTTCAGAATCATAATTTGGATCATTTTTATCAAGTGCAGCTGGACATGTTTCAGTATCATCTACTTTTCCCCATGAATGAGCTCCAGCTCCTCCTTTCTTATCAGTAGTGGTTCTATAACCAAATTTATCAGTAGCATGTTTATCATGTTCGTATGGCATTTTCTATTTTCAATGATTTCTTTCCTTCCAGTTCTGTCCTTAAATAGTTCTATCTCTTAGTTTTTCAAGCTTCTTCTTTATTCCAGATTACGGTCAAGAACTCTAAATTGAAGAATTGACGAGGTTCCACGTCATTTAATCTTATATTATTTATAAGATTGTTTTTTTTTTAAATATTCAGAAAAAGAATAAAAAATGTTATTTAAATAACACAATATTAAAAGTAAAATTAAGAAAAAAAGAACAAGAAAAATAATGATGATAGTGAAGTTAGCTTGATAAAAGGAAAAAGATTTTTGTTTTGTAGAGTAATTAATAGAAATATGAATGAAAGAAATAGGATGTTTTAATGAAACGAATGAAAATGTTTTGAGTTTTTAGATTCAGAAGACAAAGTATTAAGAAAATAGTTTCGTTTAATTAAGAGGTAAATGACTTATTCATTTATAATAATTATAAAATAGACAAATTGTTATAATAAGATTCAATTTGTTAGAGTAAGAATAAAAGTAAAAGAAGAAATAAGATATTGATTCTTATTAATTAGTCACAAGATATATTAACTCAAAAATGAATAGTTTTAGTAAAAAAAAAAGTTGAGTTCATTTGAAATAAAAGAAGAAAAGTAAGATTGTTAAGAAAAAAAAAAAAAGAAAGAAAAAGATAGGAAAAGGAAAGAAGTTAATAAAATAAAGAGGAGAATAAAGAAAAAATAAAATATAAGAAACGTAAAGTTAATTATAAGGAAATAAATAAGATAATAATAATTATAATAAAGTTTTATATTTGACAAGTGAAAGTAAATTTATGAATATCATCAGAAATAATTGATGAATCACTACAAAAACTTTTTACTTCTAAACAAGAACCGTCATATTCTAATAATTCACTTTTTACTGGAGTAAAAGCACTTAATTTATTAAAAGTTTTCATTACATATTTTTTAAATAATTGTAATATAGTAAAATCATTTGGTTGTACATAAATAATTCTTTCAGAAATACAAGTTTTTCTATTTGAACCAGCCATTTTTTGAACAATATAATGATTTACAGCTAAACCAAAATCTCTAATATTTTCTTTATCAAGAAGATAAGAAAAACCATTAATAATTGTTGAAAATGATTTTACTTTTTGCATTTCAATAGTAAATTCAGCTTTTCTTGTTTTTTTCATTTGACATTGAATAGATGCTTTTTCTGCAACTTCTAATAATTTACTAAAAGCAATAGCATCCATAGATCTTTTAATTAAACGAGAAGCCCATTTTTTATCAGAATCACAACGTTGTTTAGCTATATCTAATTCAGATTGAACATTATTATGAATATCTATTTTTTCATTATTAAGAATAATATAACGAACATTAAGTAAAGGAGATGTTTTTGTTGATTTTTTATAAACTTTTTCAATTTCTAATTTCATTCCAAGTAATGAAAATACTCCTAAAAGAGCACTTTGTTGACATGCTTCAAAAGTTTTACTTGATCTTTTTAAACAATCCCATTCTTTTTTATCATTAAGATTAAAAATATCTTTCTTAGGTTTAGAATTAATTTTTCCAACAATAAGTTTCATTTGAGTATATTCTAATGGGTTCATGATAATATTAATCAGTTAAATATATTATTCTTAGTTTATTAATTTTATTTCTTAATCTTCCACTTTGTTAAGTTTTTTTTTTTGTTTCATTCAATTTTTACTTTTCTAAAGAGAGTATATGATTTTTTCTAATGATTATTATTGAAAAAAAGAAATGTATTGTATTATATTCTAATTCAATTTTAACTCTATTAACTTCAGATGATGATATAAAGTTATAATATTATTTTAAAATATTTTTTTAATAATAAATAATTATATTAAAATAATATATCATTTTCTTCTATATTCTGAGAAAAAAAAAAAAAAAAAGAAAGAAAGAAAGGAAGACTATCAAATTCTTAATTTTGTTAATTTGATTGGAAACTTTTTTATTTTTAAAATATTTGAAATCTTTTATAAGACTATTCTTTACTATTTTTTTTTTATTATTAAATATATCTTCTAAAGAAGTTATTAGTTATTCTAGTATCAATCATATTACCAAATACATAAATAAGTATATGTTGTATATATAAATAATAATAATAATCATAATTTTATATATTTATTTTATATTTTCATTTACAAAAAGAAAAAAATTAATGTTATTTTCTATTAACAAAAATTCAAAAATCTTTTCTATTCTAAAAATATAACCAATAATTAAAGAATAATTTTAATTTATATTGAAACCTTTACTTCAAAATTTATAATATAATTAGATTTTATTAACAAAAATAATAATTGTATAATATTTAAAAAGAAAGGTATTTATGACGTAAATTTATACAAAGATTTTTATTTCCAGATTTATAATAGATTAAAGAAAGATTATAAGCTATTTCTCTATCAAGTAATGATTCATTTTGATTATTTGGAAGAACTGATAATGCATATTCATAATAATATAAAGCAAGATAAGAAATATCAAGTTGATGATACATTCTACCTATATTAAAATAACATTCTTTTTTTGAATGACCTAATATAAGATATCTTTTCATAAATGTTAAAGTATTTGCAAATGCAATTGATTTATCCATTGTATTTCTATTAGGTACATCTCCTAAATAAGCCATAGCAATAGATAAATTAAGAACAGCAGATTCTTTTTCTTCTTCATAAACACTTAAATATTGTTGTAATGCTTTATTATATTGACATGTTGTTAAAAATAAATTTCCTAAAATAACTGTAATTATTTTTTCATTTGGATATTTTTGATGCATTCTAGTAAAATATTTAAGTAATGTAGGATTTGTTTGTCTTTTAGATAATACAATAACTTTATTAAAATAATACCAAATATCTTTTCTTTTTGGTAATAATAATCCTAATGATTTTAATTGAAAAATTGCTCCATCATAATATTGATTTGCAATAGCAATATTAATATATGACATTCTTAAATATATTTCTATTTCTTCATCACTTCTATATAATCCAATTAATATTTCTAATGTATTTTTACATTCTTCCATTAATCCAAGATGAGCAGAACAATTAATATGATGAATAATATATTTTTTTATTTTTCTAATTCCAATTACTTCTTCAAGTAATACAAAAACTCCTGCAATTTCAATAACTGTTTTATTATCTCTATCTACATTTCTTGTTTTTCTTTCTATTTGATTTATTTCAGTAAATTCATTTATTTCTTCTTCTTTTTTTTTATTTTCTTCTTCTCCTTGTTTTTCCCAAACTAATCCATCTTTTGGCATTGGAGGTGTAATTGTAATAATTGATCCTTGATTATTTTCTATTCCTTTTCTTCTTTTTCTTCTTGTTTGAAATAATCTATTTTCATCTTTTTCAATATCTATAATTCTTTTTGTTATTTCTTTATCTTCTTCAGGTAATTCAATTCCAAGAAGATTTAAAACTGCTCCTTTCCTCCATTTTTTATTTTTTGTAAATCTAAATAATTTAATTCTTGATCGAATAAGATCTAATTCTTCTTTTTGTAATAATTTCCCAAATAACCATAAAAATGATTCATAACATTCTTCATATCTTTCTAATCCATAATTTGCTTTCATTTTAAGTCTAAGAATTTCAACAACATTTTCTTGTTCTTCTAAATCTTCAAATATACTATCATCTATTCCTTGTTCTAAACTTAAAAAATAATTCTCACTTATTTTTAATACTTTTTGATATTCTTTTTTCTTATAATATTGTCTCATAAGAAGAATAGTAATATCTCCTCTAAATGTTATTTCTGGATATGCTTTTTCTGCTAATTTAATTCCAATTTCTTTTTTTCCTAAATTAAATGAACATATTGCACAATTCCCTAAATTCATTGCATTATCTTGTCCATTAACTTTTCTAATTACTTCAAATAATTCTAATGCTCTTTCATACTCTTTTACTTTCATTAATTCATTTGCAATATATATTGTTAAATCTACATTTTCTATTGTTGTAGAATGTATCATCATTTCAATACATTTTTGACTTTCTTCTTTTTGTCCTAATCTAATATTACAAATACAACAATTAACTTTCATATCTATTGGAATATTTTCTTCATTAATCCCTGCAAATTTAAAATATTCTTTAATAAATTCTTGAAATGTTTCTAATTTATTTATTCCTAATAATAATTCCATACATACATTAGCTAATCCTAAATCAATACTTTTATTTTCTTTCATTCGTTGTTTTATTGCTCCAAGTACAACTGAACTAGCATCTTTCATTCTTTTTTCACTAATTAATGCACTAACAATTTGTTTTGCTGTATTTGGTGATCCATCTAATGAAATAAGATATTGAAATGTCATTAATACTCCCCTTGAATCTTCCATCTTTTTTCCAATTTCTATTCTTTCACATAATAATTCTACATTCTTCGAATCATGTAATACTGCTTGACTTAAACAATAATAATATTGTTCCATATCTCCATCTTCTTTAAACATATCTGCAAGTCGTTTCCATAATTCTGCATCTGTACGTGTTATATGTGCTGCAATCATAAAATATTCTCGTGCAGTTTTAGTATCTCCTAAATCTGTATAAATCATCCCTAATGTATGATAACTATCTGGTATTTGTGGTGCAATTTTAATTGCTTCAAGTGCATATTCTGTTGCTTGTGAATATTCTTTCTTTACATAACACATTGAAGCTTCTCCAATAAGTTTTTTCACTGCATCAGGAAGTTTTCTAGTTTTAGGTTTAGAATTATCAATACTATCATCTTCTTCATCAATACTCGTTGAACGATCACTTAATATATCTCTAAAGTCATCACTATCACTTTGATTTAATGATTGATCTTCTTCCATCCTCCATATTGTTTCTCTATACTCTTTATCCATTTATCTTTTCTTAGTTTTTTGTTTTTTTCTAAAATTTTTATTTTTTTGTTATTCTTCTTTTTTTTTTTCATCTTTAAAATTATGTTGTATTTTTTTCTCTTTTTAATTCTATTAATTTATTTAATTTTCATGTCACTCCTGAACACTCTTTTATTTTAACAACCTATTCATATCTTTAGAAATGTCATTACCTCTTATTTCTTCTTTGTATACACTGTATTTGTTAAAGTCAATCCTAAGAGTAGAATAAAATAACTCAATTCCTATATTGTGATGAAAACAAGTTAGCATTGCCAGTAAGAACTCTTTCAAATGATTAGTTTGTTTATTATTCTTAAAAATTATTTAAATAAATAACTTGAAATAAACAATAACATAAATCATTCTTAAAAACAAAATATTCATTTACTAAAAAACATTAATAAAAGACTTTAATAGAAGAATTTGGATCTTTGCTCATTTAATCAATGAGCGTTAAAACAACATAATTCAGTTGAATAACTTCTTAAAAAACTTATACTTCTAGGACTAAAAATAGGATTGAACATAACAAAAAGTTATTTCTTTTTTTTTCTGTAAAGGAATAAAGAAGTTATATATCTTTTAATAATTAGAATGATAAAATAAACTATTTTATGGCTATTAGGATATTGTTAACTCTTTTTATATTTTTATTAAAAATTAAGAGGGTAAATATAAGACGTTTTTTGAATCTTTTTTGTTTGTATTTATCTTATATGTTTCGTTGTTTTGTTAAATCATGTAACTTAACTTCTGTATTTCTGGTACATTAAAATATTTTTCATAAATCTTACATTCGATATTATATTTAATTGTTATTATTTTTTTTAAAGAGTGTTCTAAATATTTATGGGGTATTCTTATGTATAAAAATAAATTATTCACTTTCATTAAATTCCTCTTTGAAATGCTGGAAATTTTTGAGTTTTGACGATTAAAAATTGTATTTCAAATAAGGAAAATTTATTATATAAAAATATTATTATTATAGTTTTTTTTGAAAAGTAAAATTAAATTTTTATGTATATATTTATCTTTGTATCTTACGAAGTTCCTTTACAAATGGAAACTTTCCTATTGCAAACTGTTTTTATTATTAACACTTTGATTGGTAGATTTAAAATATTTATTCATTATCCCTAATTCATAATAGGAGTAAATCCTTAATAAATGCAAGAATTTAGAGTAATAAATAATTGAAAATTGAATGAAGTAATAAACTTTTTTAAGAGTTAAATTTAGGTTTTTGGATACTATTTAAAAGGTGTTGTAGGTTATCTAAACATAAATCAGTAATGGAAAGTGATGGTGTTATTGCTTTAGTCTTATTCATTCTTGGATTTGGTTTCCCACTTTTGTGGTGTATTTGCTTCTGTGTTTATTCTTCTAGTGATGATGATATGGCTCGGGTGTTTGCAAAAGTTGGTTTAGTATTGTTTATTGTTACAACAATATTATCTGTTTTAAGTGTTGTACTTGCTGTAATAATAATTATTATTGTTTATGTTGTTATAATTGTTGGTGCAGTAAATGATGATGATTATTAATAATCCACTTTTTATTATGATATTTTGTTATGTTGTTTGTATATTATTTTTAATAATTTAAACTAATTAAGTTAACATCAATTTATTAATAATTTAGTAGGTGAAATCATTTGTTATCTTATGAAATAAACATCCATTTATTGATTATCTTTATTTTAGTGTTAATGACACTTTTTTTAAATAGTTGATGTTTCTTTATAAAAGAAGGTAACTAGTATTTTTATATTTGTTAACAATGCTTAACATTAATGCATTCAATAACAATAACTAAAGGCATTATTATTCGTTTGTACATTTTACACAACAAGAGTAAAATAAATAGTATTATTTAGAAATGAATTATTCCTATTATAAAATGGATTCCTTAATAAATTGATAATGGTATTTATTTATCAATACAACAAGTATCTATTCAACAAATTATTAAGTTAACTAAACTTGATAAATTAATTCAGTTGGTATTTAATTATCTAATTATATAAGAATAGTATTGCACTTTATAAATGGGTTCCACAACTAACTATCTCTTATTGATAAAATTATTAATATTACAATTATTTTTTTGTATGATTTCTTCCAATTTTCATTATAACCACAATACCATAACTTTACACTAAGAAAGTATTACAATACTTATTGCAATAACACTTTTTGATATATATTTAATCTTTTTTTATTGTTCGTTTATTTTCCTTTTGTTTTATGATAATATGTTAATTACTGTCATTTCAATTATTTTTAATAGTCATTTTATACATTATTAATAAATTAAATAAATCATTGTTGTTTGTTTTATATCTTCCATTTTTATTAGTTATTGTTTTGTTTAAAAAAAGAAAATGATTTATTAATGAAAAAATATCAAAAATGTTATTATGTCATATAAAAGAATAAGAAGCTTATACTAATCAAGAAAAATAAATGATAGAAAAATGAGATTAAGTATTATCTGTATGAATAAAGATAAAATAATCATTACCTCAAAAACTATCACAGGAATAGCTATTACTGTAATTTTTATAAACCAATATATATAACATGAGCTATTTGATTCGTTATTTCAAACAACCTCATAATATAAATATTTTAAAAAATAATTTTATCAATACTATTTATCAAATTGATTGACGTGTCAAAAATAAACTAAAGAAAAGAAATGATGAAATAATAAAAAGAATCAAAATGAATAATTAAAAGAATGAAGAAAGTATTTTGTAAGAAAATTAATTTTAATGAATGAATGTAATACTATTAAATGAAATAAAACATGACATAAACAAAGTATTTGAATTTGTAACAAATAAATTAAATGAAAGATATTTAAATGGAAATAAAAGAAACGTAGTGAATATAAGAAATGTAAATTGTATATTTAATAATAAGAAATTATCAGTAACTACATGGAGGTCATTAAATATAAAAAGAAATATATTCATCAAAGTAATAAAGATGCAAGAAGGAGTAAAAACAAAAGGAAGTATTAAATCTAAAATACTTCATATTGATATATTAATTTATTGTAAACATTGTCATAACACAATTCCATCTATTAATAATATATTGTTATGATATCATGTAATGAAGAAGAATCAAATATTAAAACACGATTACATATGTAATCAATTATATAAACATACATATTTTAATGAATTTGATGAAATAGATTTTAATGCCCCTCATAAGTGTATTAATAATAATGAAATAGTTATAACTTACAATAATGATTTATTGGTTAATGACCATTCGTTTAATGCTAGAAGACCAGATATATATTATCAAATCATCAA